GTGGGCCATCACTGAAGGTATGTAGTCTGATTCGCAAGTTGAGATGATTTTTGATTTTCAGGAAAAGTCACATCTAAAACTTCCGGGGTCTACGACTCAACATCTGGAAATACTGGATCAGCTGAGGCCTACATGTGCACCCTGGTTGGTGTACCTTATTACGCTGTGGTTGCTGATAACTTGGAAGAGGAGAAGGTCAAGCACATTGAGAGTTTTGGAGGACAAATTATCAAGGTAAGAGATAATGCCTCCAGGTTCTTGATTACGAAATTTTCCAGGTCCCAGTCGCTCAACGTAATCTTCAAGCCAAAAAACACGCCGCGGAGAAAAACGGTTTCTTCATGAATCAATTCGGAAACGCAGAGAAAGCAGAGGAATTCCATGAGAGCGGTGATTTCTACTTTGAGTCCACCAACGTCTACCATGAAATTATTGTTCAATTGAAAAAGGAAAAAGAGCAGGCTGTTAAGATCCCCGACTACTTTGTTCATTCGGCAGGAACGGGTGGTACTATTTCTAGTGTTGGAAGATATATCGCTAGATATGGTGCACCTACCAAGGTCATCCTTTCCGATTCGCAATACTCTCTGTTCTATGACTACGTTATCGGACACAAGTTCACCAACCAATCGGGCGCTGGAATCTGGACACCGCCAGGAATCGCTGGAATCGGTTATGGATATGATATTGAACCAGTGCTCTACGGACAAACGACCAGTTTGACTCGGAATGTGATCCATGAGGCTATGCGAATGCCTGACATTGCTTCGGTTGCAGCGATGAGAATTCTAGACGAGAAGGGGTACAATGTGGGTCCATCAACATCACTCAACTTCCTGGTTTCTCTCTACAAAGCCTATCAAAAGAAGTAAGCCATGTGGAAGACCCATTAGAAAACGTCATGTTTTTTTAACGCCTACACTTCATTTTGCAAGATTCCTATTTCCTCATTTGTTATTTTTTGCAGAGCAAAACAATCTCCAATTAAACACCGTCTCACCATTGTCACCTTGGCCTGTGATCCCGGAGATTTCTATCGTAGTACTTATTTGAAGAATGAATGGGTTGAGAAGAGTTTCAAGAAGTTCGGAGGTGTTGAGGGCATGGAATGTTGGAAGAAACTCATTCAGGAATCAATTGACACTGGATCCGACTTCGTTTCAAAGGGACTTACCATGTGTCCAGGAAGCTATAAAGTCTAACTTTGTAATTGATTTTTTTAACTTGTGCTCGCGCTTTTACAGGTTCAATTTCTTCTTTTTGTCTGATAGTTAACATGACTTGAGGTACAGGAATGTGCAGTAACCCATTTAGAACTCATTCCAGTGAACCATCTTTCTAGTGATCCCCGTGCTTGAGTTCTAGTGCTCGCTTTTTTTATTTGAATTTTTAAATAAATAATTTATTGCATTAATCTGTGAAAACAAAAGCAATGATGTTTGTAAAAAGAGTGAACAGAAAGATATAACAGGCCAGGATAAACCAATTGATTTCCAGATCCACATAACGGATCATGGTTCCATAGTGAAAAGAAATTTGGTCTTTTTTACGACCATCTTCCATATATCGAATTCCTGAAAATTGGCATATAAGGTCTGAATATACGCTCTAATCTAACCTGAGAACGATGGCTCTCCTGAACAAATAAAAACTTTCTTACACACTTGGCAATACGTCGGACACATCAAACTGTGGGATATGTTGATTTTGGGATTATGAAAACCGTCATGTTTTGGGCATGTGAAATGATAATTGGAAGGTTTTGCAATAGCGAATTTGAATGTGTCATCTGTCCGATTGCACTCGATTCCCTGAAAATTAGTCATCTGATTTGTAGATTTCTTGGGATTAATGGTTTACAGCGACGTTATATTCTCGAGTCACATAAGCATAGGTTGGCGGTCGAACTCCAGTTTTCATCAGAGCAATCAGAACAACTTTTTCGTCTTCATAGTCGTAGCGGAACGTTGTCAGCTTTATCTGAAAACCCATACTGAACATTAATGTCGACGATATGGCCTAACTTTCTCAACATGAGTTTTCTAGGCCATTGTAGTTGATTGCAGAAATGGCTTCACCTGGTTTGTTTTAACCATTTTTGATGACGGGCCGAAAAATTCATGTTCAGAAATTTAGACCATCATAATAGCTTAGAAAGCACATCTGGTACATATTGGACTATTCCTGGACCATCAACTACTGGAAATTTTCTTCTGAGAAAGTTAGGCCATGATTCTAGGCTGTGTGTAGTCCTCTTGGAAAAAAAACGAAAAATGTTTGTTTCTAGAAAATAGGCAAGAAATTATAGAATACAGCCAATCGTATAATTCCTATAACTCTTAAAAATCACCTCCGTATTTCCTTACCCTTGTTGTAATTGGATTATTTTGACATTCTGCAAACTGTATCAAAACACAAAAAACAAGAAAAAGAAGCTGAATTTTTATATTTTTCATGGTCATGGGTAATAAATCAATCCACACTCTCTTTGATGGAAATTTCGAATTTCGGGCTATGACCTCAAACAATTTGATTTTATTTTCTCATAAAACGATAATTTCACGCGTGAAAAGTTTGAGATCGTATTCTTCGGAACCGGTTTGTGTTCTCAATTTCAGACATTATCTCCTCAAATCGATGACGGATCAGATCAGTTTCGAGTCGTTTCCGTTTGCGGTCTTGTTCCTGAAAATTACGTCAAACTACTGTATTTGCTCTAATTGGACAGTGCACTTTGAGCTCAATTATCTTTGTTCCTATGAGAGATATTAAAACAACGTCAACTGATGAAATATTGATGAGATTATGACAAACGATTTATTAGTTGACAACTTTTTGATATATTTTTAGGGAGCTGAGATAATAGAGCTTTTTTAATCTAAAAAGTTCAAAAATTACCATGATTTTCATCTGATCCCTAACCAACTCCACTGCTTTTTTCTCCTCGTCCGTCGGACCAGTCCATCGATTTGCATTTGTGATTAATCCGTTCATAACTGCCTCGTATTTCCGATTTTTTCTCCTATCCTGCGCATAATTGTTGCCTTCAAAACAGTGTAAAACTTTCAGAAAAACATTCGCCACTATCCCAATAATTGGAATTTTCGATAGAAAGAAAAACACCGATTTCAAAATGTAGAAGACAAGAGATAAAGGCGCAGGGATCCATAGTTTTTCTTCGTATCTGAAAAAATGTCTTTTGGTCCCTCCAACCAATTTTACTCTTAAGCCCCACATCATCCTTATTCTAATCCCTAACCTTTCTTTTGAATAAAAAACTCACTCAATCAGCCGACTATACAATTTGTATTTCCAGTAAATATGTGAAACTTTGTCAATATCCTCGTATTTCTTCCTGGAAATCAAACTTTTATCATTGAATTTTTGGCCTTTTCTTTTCTCACGATAAGAGAGCAGTGACCAAATTGACCAAAAGGACGCTAGAGACTAACATGTAGCAGAAGAGGAATACTGGTATCATACTTGTCTGGAATTCGATGAGGTCTGATGATAAGAAAAATCATTGAATGATGACAACAACTTTTTGAGCTTTTTTTGTGTACATAGTGTGTGTTTTTCGAAAAACTTCTAAAACGAATTCTCGAAAACTTTCCGATCGTTGAAACCATAAAAATTGGTGGCCTAGAAAACTTAATCTGCAAAAGTTAGGCCACCTTGTTAAAATGGCCTAGAAAACGCACCAGGGAAATATCAGCCGATTCCTAGGTCGTTTACCGTGGTGGCCTAGAAAACTCAATTTGCAAAAGTTAGGCCACCATGGTAAATCGGCTAGAAAACACATCAGGTGCATTTCAGACGATTTCAGTACCATCAACTACGATGGCCTAGAAAAAATAATGTTGAGAAAGTTAGGTCAATCTTTTCCTTGCATAGAACCGGAGTGTTTTCTGTTTTTTGGGATCCATCAACTGCAAAAACAAAGGTTGTACATATGTACCTTGAACCAGCACTGTACAGAAGAATCGGTGATGACGTCCCAGTTCAGTGGCGCTGACGAGCATTTACTGACGGTGCCTGTAATCAATAAATAAGCTTATCAGTTTACTGACGCATTTTCTAATTATAGAGACGGGTTATTTCCGGTGAATCGATCGGAACAACAATCAATGCTCTAATAGAAGGAATATGCGCGCACTTTGAGCTCAATTATCTCGGTTTCTTCAAAAATATCAAAAAGTGGTCAACTTCTAAATTGTTTATCATAATATCATGAATATTTTATATGTGACAAAACTTTGATATCTTTTATAGGACCTGAGATAATCAAACTGTACGTATAGTGTTGACGGTAAACACGAGGATGGCTGTTAACTTCTCTCTTACCCAACTTATCCTCTTCATCAGCTTCTCCAAAAATCTCAAACGCCCCACTGCTGAAAATCAACCACGGCCAAACGACATCTGTTATATTTGGAGTACTCTTCAAATGTCCAGCCAAACTGATATGGCATACAGCATAGGTAAACCAGAATACCATAAAAACAAACATAAATTTTACCATGATAGGGATCTAAAATTTGAAAGATTACAGTTAGAAAAGGTATATAAAAATCACCATTTTCTTGATCATAAGCACTATTGACCCAAAAAACGCGTCCACATTTGCAATTTTCATCAGACGTAACGTTGCAAAAACAAATGAGAAATAGAAGAAAAGATCGGCAGAAATAATGGCAAAGGCACGGATAGGCCAAGTGGGCGGAGCAATTACAGCTAGAGACCATGCGATCATAGTCATAGCAACAAGATAGTTACGGTAGAGATCTGCAGTATTTCGTTCAGCCCAATTGTAGAAACCCTCAAAAATAAGACTAAAGAAAATTGATGGAGAAAAATAACCAACTCTCTGATAAACCAGTACAGCCATTTCTGTTAAATATGCACATTGCCATACAATAATTGCCATCTCATCCAAAAACTCATCTAATTCATTCATCACCATTGTTTTCCGTGTCATTGTCATCAATACATAAGCATAGAAAATCACATAAATCAGACGAAAAAGTGTGTGAATCACGTATTTCGCATTTGGGGATGTATAGAAATTGTAGACTCGGATCATAAAGTTACTGAAGGTAAATTTTGATTTAAATATTTTAGTTTATCTTACCAACCTATAAGTTATCGAAGTCATCTGTCCCGAATGGTCCATTTTGACCATCATCGTCTTGATTTCGCGTTTTTTAATCCGTTGTCGTCCGCGAAGAAAAAACAGCGGCGGGAAGAAGAAAAACAGACAGAATGCCATCTGAAACCATTATGAATTCTAGGGAAAAGTAATCATTTTTCATGTGGCTAATTAGGAGAGAATCTGGAAATAGTTACAATGTTCAGTGTAGCTTAAAAGGACATGCATTCAGTCGGACTGATAAAAATGGGTATATGTTTAGACATAAGTACCTTGGAAGCCCGGAAATTTCTAGAAATATAATTTTACTTTTGCTTCAAAGCTACTGAAATTTTCAAAGCGATTCCTGAAGATTAGGTATTGTTATGATTGTCCAAAGGTAAACGGCGTAATGTTTCTTGTGATTATTATGAGACGAATCAACTTTGACGAGCAATAACGCAGCTCAAAATTGATAAAATAATTTGAAACTTGGTCAGTTTATTGATGAGTCATTTTAATTTTTGCACTCCAAATTTGAGCCCAGTACAACGTTTCAATCAGATTTATGATAGTATACACTTCGATTCGGGTAATTATGATCCACCCTGTATTGGAAGAGCTTTCAGTTTATGCACCCAAAATCCCCAATCTCTTCTCTCAACTTTAGCTCATATTCTATTTTTCTAGTTTACACAAACATACAAACATTTTGCCCAGAACACTCACTTGTCCTAATTTAAATCCGGGCTGCCACCGGAAGTCGATTTCTCGTTGACATGCAGGATGAGACAGGAAGTTCTGCAATTTCGTTTAATCTCCTACAGCCAAATGAAAACTAACTTTAGCCTTGGCTGCAGACGCCAACGCCATAACTTCCATATTCTCTTCACTAGAAGGACATCCATCTGTATGGATAAATAAGTGATAATTTGTGTCCAAAACGGCTCGGCTGTCTCGTTCGCTCGTGTGAAAGCATTGGTCAAGAAGAGCGGTGCATTCGTCGTCGAATGTGCTGAAACAGACATCGGAATGAATGGACGGACAGACAGATTGAGTCCATGGTCCCTAAACTCACTTCTGAATTTTGTCGAACGCTTCGGCAATCACCGGTTCGTGTTGCTCCAAAAACAGCTTCCTCATCTTGTTACTGACGTAAACCTAAAATGGCTTCTATTATTATTTTGGCATTTTGAATGGTGTCTTGATTTATAAAATGACACATTTTTCAACTGGGTGTAAATTAAATTGTCCTTGACAGAGATTTCCAAAAAAAATAAACATGAAAAAGATCAAAAAAATCTTACCACCAATAATCCAGCAAATATCGGGTACTCGCACTTGGCCCATATCTCGTGAAGATCACTCCTGAGCTACACTTTAGTTGTCACTTCATCACTCACCGAAAATCCCCTCTCTCAATACCTTTTAAAAAATGATGATGCGATAAATGCAGCATGTTTGTATCCTTGATTTGACTCAAATGACACTTTAGAACAGGTCGCATCGTGTTGTTGATAAACTCGAAAATCGATCCGCCGACGGTGGCAAACTTTGGATTCCGTTCGATGACATCATATGTTATGAAGAGTTTTTCCTGAAAAAATTAGGAGGGTGAGAGGGAGAGGAGAAGTACTTGGAAAAAGTTCACTTCCTGTTCCATTTCGTTCAGTTTGTTGATGATTTCTCGAGATGACATATCCACGGAAGTACATCGTGATGGTTGGATCTGGATGTTGAAATTTACAGTAAACTCTAACCGACAGTCAACTTTGAGCCAATTTATCTCGACTTCTGTGAAAGGTATCAAAAAGTTGTCAACTGGCAAAATGTTTATCATAATATCAAAAGCATGTTGTCAGTTGATCATTTTTTGATATCTTTCACAGGAACCGCGATAAATTGGCTCAAAGTTAAAATTAAGGGGTGGCGTCCGATTGAAGGGTTAACTGCATACTAGAGTAGAAAACGTCTGAATCTCGAATTTATATTAAAAGCTAAAGTTTCGAACTCTTACCTCTTCTCAAAATTTCCCGAAATTTCAAAGAACTCACCCAATATCTTTCATCTTCTAAGGAAAAATTCCTGGTCCGAAACTTAATGGTCTTCCGACGACCCGATGGAACATCCAGATTCATTTTTTTTTGGCTACTGACGCACTTTTCGATTTGTCTCGTTGTGTATATAACGAATGAGACAGAAAACGCAAATCGAATTGTTATCAGAGGTAATCAACTGTGTTATCATTTTTTGTCTTTGCTCCATTATACTTATTCGGGAGACGTCTGTTTAGAGAATAGGAGGAAGAAGAAGGAAAGAGGAAAAAACAGTTGAAAATGGGAAAACGGGGGCGGAAGAGAAAAGAAAAATAGAAGAAAACGGAAGACGAAAAGTTCAGAATTTGAAAATTTGGGTACGAAACTTTGATCATTAAAAATTGCTATCAATGGGAAAAATGGCGATTTTGAATTCTGAAAATTCTGAAGTCCTGAAGATCTGGAATTCTTAAATTCAAAAAAGTTCTGAAATTCTGAAAATTATAAAGTTCTGAAAATGTCTGAAATCCTGAAAAACTTTGAAATTCCGAAAAGTTCTGAAACTCTGTAAGTTTCTGAAGTTCTGGAATTCTGAAACATTTCTGGAATACTGAAAAAAAATATATGGAGTTTGGAATTTACGAATTTTTCAGAGTTCCGAATTCCAAAATTTCGTAATTTTTCAGAATTTCAGAATCATTCAAAAATTAAATTTTCAGAATTTCAGAATCTCAGAATTTCAAAATTTCAGAATTTCAGAATTTCAGAGTTTTTCATATTTTCACAGCTTCAACTTCAGAACTATTTAGAATTTCAGACTTTCAGAGCTTCGGAATTCCGAATTTTTGAATTTCGGAACTTTTCGGAATTCAACATTTTAGGATTTCTCGGAATATTTTCAGAATTTTTCGGAATTTCAGAGTTTCAGAATTTCAGATTCCACAAGTTTCAGACTACAAAAAACTGTTCCAATTTTTAGTGCGCACATTTTTATTCATTTCTTTCAAATATATTTTTTAGATTTTGAAACAAAATAGAAATTTATTTTCCGGAGAAGAAAATAATTGGTGGTTGTAATAATAAAAAAGGATGCATCAGACGACAGAGAAGATTCGAGATCAGGTCACAAAATTAAAGGAATAGAGACAGATAGGAAGATATATATCGAGTGGCGAACTACATGGAAACCAGACACAGAATTTCAACTATTATCACTTTGTATTGTCATTGCAAATAAAGATTTGGGACTTCTTTGGGGATAGATTGAATCTTAAAGGGACAAAAGAAAAAAATAAAAGAGATGGGTCCGGTGCCAGCTGCCAACGATATTGACGTGATCAGAGGCCTCCGCGCAGTCTGCAGCGCACGAGACCCGAAGAAAAAGTTAAGTAAAAAAAATTATCAGTCCTGATTGCAGCAAAACGTTTTGAGATAGCCGAACGAGCAGCGTTTTTCACAGCATTCCGTCGCGATGCCTCCTCGTTTCTGGTGATGATGGATGTGGAAAAGATCGCGTGTCGTTGGGGCCCAGGATTGATCAATTGGAGCGGAACCTGAAAGAGATTAGAAGTTTAGTGTAAGTTGGATGTGATTATTAAATTATGACCACACGAGTACAGTAGGCAGCTACAGTACTACCGATCAATAAGATATACAAAAACATATTTTTCCGTTGATTTTGACCATTTTCCGGAGTCTGGAGCTCGACGGTCAAATGTCGGATTACTTTGAAACCTATGGAGGCTATGAAACAGACCTAGATTGAAAAGCTTGCTTTCACATAATTTTTTGAACATTTCTAGCTTTTCTGATATTAGCCGATTTCCGAAGGACGCCTGCTTTTTTCCACATTTGCAGTACAAAACCTGGGAAAAGATGTCTTTCAGAAATATGCGATTAGCTGAAAAACTAGGAATTTTCAAAACATTGTGTGAATTCGAAGTTTTCATTTTAGGTCTGTTTTATAACCTCCAACGTTTTCAAAATGATCGAACACTTGACATGCGAGCTCCAGACTCCTGCAAATTGTCATAATGGTCTAAATCTTTTGTATATCTTACTGACCGGTACTGTACTGTATGTACCCCAACCAGTACAGGGTGGGAGGCCTGAAAAGTTAGGTTTTCTTAAAATTTGACCCCCATCCATACATTTGGGTTGAATGCCGAGCTATTATAATTTTAAAACTTTGGTTGTAGCCAAGCAGTCGGACTACTCTAACCCGGACCTTTTTGGACCCTCTCCTGAATATCCTAGCTTCAATTTCTGCACTTTCCCTACTCTCCAAAAAGTTCAAAATTGCCTAAAATTAGCTTTCCATGACTAACCATCTCCGGTTTCCCACTAATTACTTCTAATTTCTTGGCCTATTTTAAATGACGCCATTTTTAACTTATTCTGTTTTTCATCAAAATCTCATGACACCCCCGGGTGTATCCTATCATTAAGCCACACTTATGACAAACTTTTCGAAATCAAAATTTTGTGGATTTTCGAAACTTGCGACATTTTCAGTCCTGACGTAAGGATGTCAGAACACAATAAAATAAGAGAGATGGATGAACAAAATAAGTGGAGAGGAATGAAAATTCTCCCAGGGAGTAGCGCCTCATCAATATTTCAGAGGGGAGACACCCCCACTGAATGGATAAATAAGATAGAAAAAATAGAAAACTAACGTTTGAAAGCTCCCATTCCACCGCACAGTTGATTTCGGCAAACAGCGAGAAGCGTCGTGGTCAGACGTGTTCCACACAATCGGATCGATGCGTCTGAAGGCGTCGGAGTGAGAATCATAAGGGTCAGGAAGGCGACAAGCATCGTCGAGCTGAAAGTTATAACTTAAGAGAATTCTGGATTCATCAAAAGCTTACCTAGAAATCTGACGTAGCCAGTACATCTTGTGATGTACAAGTGTGGCCCGTTGTTGAGAGCGGCGAAGACACTGGAAAAAAGTATTATAACTTCTGAGAGGGAAGTCAAAACGAAGAAGTCAAGAAGACGTGCGAAGAGAAGTCTCGGATTACAGTGTGATTCATTAGAATCGACACTCTCCGATTACCCGGAGAAGACGTCGTAGGGCCCCCAGATATGGGGGTGGGGCGCTCTAGACACTTTTATATAGATATTTATGACGTTGTTGATATATAGATCTCAACGTCTCCAGGGGGAAGGATTCTGAAGAGGAAAAGAAGTGATAAAAGGGAGCCAGGTTTTTGATTTTTATATAATGCGGGGACACAATTTTGAAAGGTGTTAGACATGGTGATTTTCTGATTGCCGGGTTGAAAAGGAGACGTCTGACGTCTTCAGGGGGAGGAGTATTCTAGAATTGTACTTTGAAAGGTTTTGGACTTCTTCAGAAGGTAGTTTTTGTATTGCCCAGAAAATAAAGTCTCTGGGATGTAGGTCTGGAATTTTTAGCGATTTTCGGAATCTTCGGTCAAAAATGAGTCCTCGGTTACTTGGTTATTTAAGAAACTTTGGGCAAAGCCTCCAATTCCAAAAACATTTTTCCTTCGAAAACCTCGTTAATTATTTTCATCGAAATCCAGGAGGAAGATATGTATTTCTCTTCTGTGTGTGTGTAAACAAGATCAGAAATTAGACATTAATAAGGAGAAAAAAAAGAGCACAAGAAGTGGAGAGCTCACACACGGAAACATATGGGGAATGTGAAATATATGAAAATGTGGGCGGAGTCTTAGGAGAAGAAGAAGGAGGAAAATTTGATTGACTTTTTGAGAGAGAAATGGGAACGGAATGATTTTAATGGGGAAATGTGTGTAATTCGAACGTAGAGATTTTTGCAGAGAAATTTAAGAGCCGCCGCATTATTAAACTGCAAAACCAGATGGATCCAGGGGGTCCAGCTATACAGAGAGGGATTTTTTTTTCAAAAATTGCAGAGTTGCAATTTCAATAGACAAAAATTCGACGATGGGAGGAGTTTTGGGGTACAGCTGATTTAGGGGTACAAAATCCATGATTCGGGGATACAAACTTGAAACGTTGTACTCCCTGAATTTTTGCCCAATTATTTTTGGTTGAAACAAAAGTTCGAAATCGAAGAAATTCATTGGAATAGAAAAAAAAATGCGAAAAATGCTCTATTTCGCTGCCGGACTTGAGCTCCGCCCACCCAGAAAACAGGACAATTTTCTAGCCGAAAAATTTTCAATCAACCATGACGTGGGTCATGATCTTTCAAAAAATGTGATTTTACCATATAATTATGCCCACTAATTAGTGTATGTAGTTCTTGGAATTTTTGAGATTTCACAAGTCTCGAGAAGGGACTTTGGACTTTCGAAAACTGAAAACTTAGAGAAGGCGATTTTTAAAAATGTCATTTTTCTAGAATTCGGATTTGTTTATTGGAATTGGCAGGGTTGATAGGTTTCTCTATAAACAAAATTGTTTACTAATTTGATTAGAGAACCTTTAAGAAATTAGAAACTCTGAATCATCGAATACCAAGTATCCATCACACAAAAAACCACAAAAATAGAATCGCCCAAAAAACAACTAAAATTTCTAAAATTGGCTTCTCCTCCTCTTTTTCCCACGCCCCTCCTTTTGAAGGACCTACCTACCAAATATCTCAAAAAATATACACAAAAAATGGCGGTTTTTTTTCACATTCTGGCATTTTTCCCTGATCTAATCTATTATCAAAAATCACTAGGTAAAGTGCATAACAATCTCTGAAAATTCGATTATAAGAAAATGAAGAAAATTGGATACAAACAGGTGTGGGTGCAGTGGAAATTTGCGTAGAGAAAAATCAGGATTTATGGATCTGAACTTTGAATTTATCATCATCCGATGGAGTTTGTAAGAAAACAGGATGTTTGTGTACACATTTGACCTTAAAGGTGGAGGGAAACTGGAAGATCTAGATCGACGAATTCCAGAAAAAACGAACTGAATAAGCTCGAATGCGTAATCTATAGAAAAAAAGAAAGTTCTCGATGTTTATGACTTTTCGTTTCCCTAAGAATCTCTGAAAATGACATTCAATAAACAGATTAAAAAGATTAAATTCGAGATCAATAGTCAGATGTTCTTCTGGATTTTTCAACTTTTTGGGGTTTTGGAAATTTCGGTTGGTTTTTTTTTCAAAGTTACAAAATTACTTTCATGGGAAAGGTTGAAATTTGAACGTTCAGATGAGGTGGGTGTTTTGGAAGAAATAATTTCGCTGCAGGAAATGAGTGATAAGTGATCAGTTAGAAATGATCTGTGTCCAGCAAAAGCAGAAATGTGAGGTCAGAAAAGTAGCAAAGAAGAACCAGGATAGAAGATTTCTAGAAATTTAAAAAAGTCAGCAATTAAGCATGGCGAGAAAATTCTGAAAATTTTCCTTCGAACGCAGAAAGAATCAAGTTTTTAGGACTATTTTGAGTCGAATTACTGTCATTTGAAGTTATAGGGTTAGAGACGCAGTGTGTCTCGTTTCTCTGCGTCTCTCACCTTTAAACTTAAAATGACTGTAACTCGACTCGAGATCATGATATTAGCTCGGTTTTAGTGGGTTTGGTAGGAAAGTTTGTCTATTTTTAACGCGCCAAAAAATCAAATTTCCAGCTCAATCCTGATCCAAGTTATGGCAATTTTAAGAGACGCATGCAGCGAGACACGGTGCGCCTCTGACTCTGAAATTTTGAATGGAAGTTTTTGAAATTTTCACATCGGCAAAAAATATACAAATTTTCTTACTTGACCCGCTCAAACCCGAGTTATTAATACGAATCTGAGCTGAGGTATGGCAATTTGAAAGTTTCCGGTTAGAGACGCGGAGAAACGAGACACACTGCGTCTCTCACCCTATAACTTCAAATGACCATAACTCGGCTCAAAATAATCCTAATAACTTGATTTTTGACAGGTTTTGTTGAATATTTTGTCCGTTTTTAATGTTGGAAAAAATTTGGTGAGTTTGAGCACTCCAAAAAAGTGAATTTCTTGAAACTAGAATCACTATACAAAGCATCAACTACTGCTAACAAATGATGTGTTTTCCTTTCATTCACCTACTTGTTTTTTGAGGCCACCTAGGGGACAGAGGATATTTGAATATTAGGTTGGCGGGAAAGTCTTTGTCACTTTTTCAATAGTTTATTTCTCAAAGAAAAAATAACCGAATAATTAATTATATTGTCCATCATTATCAACAACATGTCTCCAACGTTCCCTCAATTTATGGATTCCATTGCGGTAGAATCCAGCCGGGCGTGAGGCAAAGTATTGTTTGAGTGCCGCTTCGACCGCTCCACGGGAATTGAAGCTTCTTCCTTCGAAGGCACGTGTCATATCGCCAAATAACCAATAGTCGGAAGGAGCAAGATCAGGAGAATACGGGGGGTGAGGGAGAACATTCCATCCATATCCCATCAGCTCCTGCTTCACTTGTTTCGAAACATGTGGGCGAGCGTTATCATGTTGATAGTACACTTTCTTGTCTTTCAGGGCCGAACGGTCGACTGCTTTCTTGAGGTTTCGTAGTTGAGTAGTGTAGAGGTCTCCAGTTATTGTTTTGCCCTCGGGCAGAAGTTCCCAGTAGATGGGGCCGTCCACTCCCCACCACACAGAGAGCATAACTTTTTTCGGATGAAGGTCGGGTTTGGGGACATCCTGTGGGCTCTCTCCTTCTCCAACCCACTGGGATTTCCTGTGGTGATTATCGTAGAAGACCCATTTCTCATCTCCGGTTATTAGCCGGTCCAGCCATCGATCGCCCGCGTGGAGAGTGAGAAGAGTAATCGAATCGTCGACTCGGCGGTCAAGGTTGGCTTGAGTCAGGTGATGAGGTATGAATCGACCAAAAAGTTTTCTCATTCCAAGAGACTTCAAACCTTCAAGGACTGTGCTATGGTGAACTCGAATGTGACAGCTAGTTCACGGCTAGATTGAAATGGATCCGATTGCAATGCGTGCTTCAGCTTGTCCAAATCCAACTCACGGGGTCACCCAGAGCGATCCTTTTCATCGAGCGAGAAGTCATCTTTTTCGAAACGATGGAACCAATTGCGAATAGTATTGTAGTGAGGGGCATGTGTGTTGTACACATTCTTCAAGAAAGTTTCCGAATCCTTCATCGTGGTGTGAGATAGGAAGAGGTAAATCAAAACATGTCTGATGTGAATAGCAGTGGGAACAAACATATCGTTTCAATTACAGATGAGGAGCAGGGAAGGAGATGGGGACTTGTTTATATGGAAGGTTCTTATCACCTTGTTATTCACTAGAGTCGATATCATACACAGCCTCCATATACGAGAACAGTGATTAAACAAACAGAGTGACAAAGACTTTCCCGCCAACCTAATAACAATGAGATTCCTTTATTTTTCTCAACGATTCTCGTCTAGTGTGCCATTCATTAAAAGTACTTTTACATATCTGATCAAACCCGGAAACAAAGAAAAAAGGAATTAGTTCGAAAGTAAAAACGGAGGGTAATTAGAAGTTCTAATTCAGAAGACGTGTGTGATGTGAAGATGTGGAAGAAAACGACGTGAGAGTTGAGAAAGGAAATAATGTTTATGATTGAAGAAAAGAAGAAGAAGGATGTGAATTAGATACACACACCCTAGCACGGGCAGGATGAATAGGGATGGACGGGAAACATCCGGGATTCTATTGTGAGCACAGAACGGTGGAGCTGAAAAGGGGAAGAAGGTTGTTTTGTTGAGATGAAGACGTCATCAGGATAATATGAGAAGTTCTATACCGGAAATGGAAGTTGCAAAAAGAAGGGCTTCTTGGAACAGTTAAACCTTCTCCAAATTAAGAAGTTCTGGGTGGTATGGGGTCCTGGGCATTATGCCCGCCCACTGAATGTTTTATGTAGTCTCTGATCCTTTAAAAGTACAAGACCATTTAGGAATTCTGCAAATCACAACCTTCGAAAATTCCACGTGTACCTAGCAAACACCCATGACAAATATCATAATAGGTGAGCATGGGACAACTGGTCCCGGACCAGTATCTTTGAGCAAATAGAAAAAATGTGGGATTTTAGAGTAGATCAAAAAGGTTACGAAAGAGATCAGATTCTCGGAATAGGTCCCAGATATCCAGGGCACACATTTCGAAATTCAGTGAACCATAAAATAACACGGAACTAGACAATAGAACAAAAAAAATGAAATGAATGATTTTTTAGACGGCGAGACAGAAGACATTCATTCCAGATGGAATTCAGAATTCAGAATACGAAATTATAAATAAGATGATATTAAAGGCTGGAACAAACTGCCTTTTTCAGTCAAGTAGATCCAGATGATGTCAAGAATCTGATGGATCTAGTTGGAGAAGAGGAAGAAGACGTCTTCTTGACAGAAAGTGACACGAAGAGAATAACAATCATACAAACTAAATGTCGGTAGACAACAACGCAAGGGAGAATTACTAGAGAAGAAGGATTCGTAGCCTCCAGAGATCGAAACAATCAGAATTCTGTAGAAGAGGGGTGATTCAGAAGACGTCACGGTGTCAGAAGAGAAGTGATATTCGGTAGAAGAGACAAATAAGAAAATTATAGGTAACAATTCTGCTGTACGAATTTTGAAATTGCCGGGTTTTTTTTTCTATAGAGAATACATGGAACTGAATATTTCAAATTTAATAGTTAAAGGTACATAAAAAATGGGGAAATGAAAAAAACAAAATTTCTCGAAATTCCGTTCATATATGCCCCTCGAGGAGTTGAGCTTGTGGAATCACCGGAGGAGGTGCCGCGCAGCTACCGAGTGAGCTACGACGGCGCCGCCATCGTGCTCTTTGAGCTCAATTATCTCGGTTCCTTTCAAAGATATAAAAAAGTTATGAACTGACAAAATTCATCATGATATCACCAGTTTTATCAGTTTACCAATAAAAATAGGAAAATTTCGAATCTGAAAATCCAGAATCAAATTTTTGACTTCCTGGGTATTGGAATCTCTAGACTTTTTTTTGTTTTTCATATTAATAAAGTTCCTACTATAGTTTTAAACCCTAGACACTTTTTGTTTTTTATTATTGTTTTCCTGATTGCTCATCTCTTAACCCCCGTCTGACAGACACTACAAAAAATTCTAACCGCTTGTAAATAATAAATACTCATCAGAAAACTTGAGATACAAAACCTAAGAATGTCTTGCTTTATAAAAAACAAGACTACATGGCGTCACTGAAAATGGGGGAGGTGCTAATTTCCAATTTCCATAAGCCCTTGTCTCCGCTTTTCGGCTAAAAATACTTGAAAAATTGACGAAAGTGTGAAAAACGAGTAATCATGGATCATATTTAGAAGGGGACATGCTAATTGGATGCTCTTTTTGTCATCCCATTCAGAAGAAAAAGAAAATCTGTCCCATTTTAGGGGGAGAAAGAGGGCTAATTGTGGTCGGGTGTACTACTAGAGTGACTTTTTGAACCGAATGAGAAAGAGGCGGAGTTTGAAGACGTGTCGAATGGAAGAAAATAGGAGGAGGGAGATAAAAGTAATTGGGTCGTTATGGAGAAGTACAGAGAATTTTTTGTGCGGTGGTGGAGAAAATGGATTTTGCAGAATAGGAAAAAGATTGAAAGCTATAAGATTTTAAGTGGTATTTCGAAGAAATGACGTTAAGTGAATCTACAAAAAAAGTGGACATCCGGACAAACAGAAACTGTTGATGTCCAAAATCTAGGGAGATTTGATAAGTAAGAAATTGAGCAAGGCGCATAGCAAGCCGCATAAAAATTCATTTATCTTACTGACAAGAAAACTCAAAAAATTATCTTTTGAACGCAAAAACAATCTAATTCCTAGGACTATTTTGAGTCGAGTTACTGAAGTTATAGAGCGAGAGACGCAGTGTGTCTCGTTTCTCTGCGTATCTCACCTCAAAACTTTAAATGACTGTAACTCGGCTCAAAATCATGCTCCTAGCTCAATTTTGAACGGGTTTGGCATAAATTTTTTTTTCTACTTTTTGTTGATATTTTAAAAAAATAAACAACTTTTAAAACCAATTTTCGATTTTTTGCGGGCTGATGTGGGATTCCTTGATTTCTTTCGAACTTTAATCTCCTCCCTCTTTTTTGCCTAATTTGAATACCTAAACATACAGGAAACAGATGTCCTTCACTGAAACTAATTCTTTGCAGAGCACAAAAAAAACACAGAATAAAGAAACGGACGCGGGGCACAAATAGTGCATAATTGATGGGAGAAAATGTAGGGACGGACACTGGATAAAAAAGTGGATTACAATGGTATATCATTAGTAACGTTTTGAATCTGAAATTCCAAAAAAAAGAAGGTTGGATAAGATCTGGATGATCCTATTTACTTGAGCTAAAAAAAATAGGGGAAATTCGTCATTTAAAGGAGTATTCTGGGAAAAAGATAGGATCAAGAGGAACCTGATTTTTTGATCTGAAAAATAATCTGAAAATATTTCAAACGACAACACAATTTATAAAGATACTGTCATTTGGTTTTCGAGAGACGCAGACAGTTAGAACTCACTGACAAGAAAATTTTTAGAATTTTCTTTCGAACGCAAAAAGAATCAAGTTTCTAGGACTATTTTGAGTCAAATTGCGGTTATTTGAAGTTACGGGGCGAGAGACGCAATGTGTCTCGTTTCTCTGCATCACTCGCCTCAAAACTTTAAATGGCTGTACATGTCACGGCTCCCAGAAGAGCTCGGAATGTGAATTTTCTTGACTAAAATCGGTTATTTTCTAGGCTTTTTAAATATTAAAAAAAAAAGTCGAACCTTTTTTTTTTTTGAAAAAAGAACCCAGTCTTAAAGGAGGCCAGACACAAAAAAAAAGTTTTCCTGATTTTTTGCATAGAGAACCCCCATGAGGGGTTGAACTCATGACAGGCTGCTCAGGGGTACAGCGCCGCTACCGGCTGAGCTACGGGGGCGCGAAGGCGCCTGACGACCGATGGTCTACATAAGCGCGGCGCGATTTCGTCCCCCGAAATTTTTGCTGTCTCGCCTCCTTTAAAAAGCTAGAAAAGTATGTAATGAACACTTTAATATTTCAATATTTTTAAACCTAGAATTTCTAAAATCGTAGTAAAAAATCTCAACTTTTAGTGAAAACAACAACAAAAATTGTAAACAACTCATCAATAAATGTCATCTCGGATCTTAAAAAACCGGAGAAGCAGAATCTATTACGTACTGAAAAATGAGACTAATTTGAAGGAAAATGTGGAGAAGATGTGTCCGTAATAACCGTCGAACATACGTCACTCTACTCGTTTTTAGATTAAGAAGAGGAAATGAAAAGCGACGACTTCTGTAGTTGAAGAATCCGGGAAGAGAGTTCTGGAAGGTTCAAGTAACTTCCGACTAAAACACATTTTTTGAAACTGCCAAACAATTTTTTGACATTTTCAAGTTTGAAAGGTTCTTCTAAATAATATTTGGCTTCATAAAAAGAGAAAAGTTCACTCATAAAAAGTTTGGCAGAGTGCCAAAACTAAATAAATGAAACTTGCAATATATATGAATATTGTTGCGATAGAAGAACAAAAAAGATGTGTATCATGTTACAGAAAAGAAAATGATGTGATCCAAGTTTACATGGTTCAAAAAGTTTTTCTGGAGAAATGGTTTAAAGTTTTCTCTTCGAGAGCTTTCTGAAGCTTAACAGGAACATGTCTACTAAAACTTCCTCCTTTTGCAATTAAGATGAAAAAATGGAATTAGTATTCCATTTTCGATTTCAGAAGTGTCTGAAGCTTACAATGAATGGAAGAAAAGTCACGAAGCCAGTCTGGAAAATGGCTAAGGAAACTTTAAAAAAAAATTAAGACTTCCATAAAATCTCTAGTACCATAAAACCTGTATAAGAAGGGCCCTCTAGCTTTGAACTTTTAGCCAAAAACATGTTTAAACATTTTATCTAACTGCTAAGCTCACTAACAAAAAACAACTATTATATTTGAGCTCTTTACAAAATAAAACCGAAAAAAACAACCTAGTGTCCACCCAGAAAATATTTTTGATTATTCACCCGTTTTTTTCCCAAGTGTCCACCACCTTTCTCTTAATGAGTTGACTCAATCTTTGTGCCCTAATTGAATACACTTGCTTGTTTTCTTCTCGTCACCTTTCAAATCCATTGTTTTTTATTCCCCTAAAATGATTCATTTCCCAGAGAAGACCAGTGAGCAGAAAGTGACTCTAAACTACACAGCAATGTGTCACAAGTCATACGAAAAAAGTGGACAAATGATGATAAGATAACAACATTATGTAGACAGTTAGTATTGATTTTTATTTGTGTGGGGGTTTGAGTTCGCTAGGTTTTTGAACTTTCTATTATTATGAAGGTAAGTGACCTCATTTTTTTGGTCAACTAATTATTAGTGTGCATCAAAAAATAACCAAACAAAATTCATAGCTTTTAACTCTTTTATGGATCTTATTAAAGACGTTTTGAAGGTAATTCAAAAAATAGCTCTGCAAAAATGAAGTCTCTTTCACAAAAAGAGAACCTTTTTGGATCACTAGAATATTCAAAAAAGTAGCAATTTTATGCCATAGTTGCTGCTGAAAACCTAGAATAATCAAGTCTTCAAAAAAGCGCCATTTTTGAAGTCACTAATACGAGACAGTCATTTTATGAGATCATGAAAAATACACAACATTTTGGAACTATAAATGTTGATGACCTAGAAAACTCATTTTGCAAAAGTTAGGCCACCATATTAAAATTGTCTAGAAAATATACCAGGTGAGTAACAGTCTATTTACCATGCCGGCCTAGAACACGCACCAGGCGAGTAACACGTCATTTCTAGGTCAATTAACGTGGTGGCCTAGAAAAATCAACTTGCAAAAGTTGAGCCCCTTATTAAAATGCGCTAGAAAACAAACCAGGGGAACATCAGGACACTTCTATGCCATTTATCATGGTGGCCTAGAAAACTCAACTTTCTAAAGTTAGGCCACCATACCAAATGGTCTAAAAACACACCAGGTGAATATCAGGGCGTTTCTATGTCTTTTCTTTTTATGAGATCATGAAAATGTTTTTTTTTGAGGAACAAATCCTATAATACAAATTCAAACATCAAGATTTTCCACTTCCAAAAAAAACAAGTTCTTACAAGGAAATCCCCGAAATCTCTAAACCTACTTAACTCAATTTTCCCCATTTTTGCAGACATCAGCGGCGGTTCCAAATGCGATATTCGGACAAAACAGTTTTATGATTCGAAATGTGGTCGAAGATCAGGGAAAAGTGGTTTTCATATGTCTCATCACAGTGTTATTCTCCATTTTACCAGTTGGATACAATATCGTTTTACTGAATGTTCCAGAAAAAGTAATACAAAGTTTTGTTTTCGATAACTTTGAAAATATATTTGGGCTGAAATTAAGTCCGACGGAGGAGAGTTTGGTTTGGTGAGTTTTTTAAAATGAGAAAAACGAGCCTTCCAATATTTCAGGGCACTTACAGTATCCTCGCAAGGAGTTGGTGCTTTAATAGGATGTATTCTGGTGGCTCCCATGTCTAAATTTGGAGCTAAACACGTGCTGATGTGTTATAACAACGTCATTCTGATTGTCGGTAAGAGCATAGATTCATGACGTTTGATGGACATATTTGTAGGTTCCTTACTTATGTTTGTATCTTACTGGATGGCTTTTCCAATTGCATTTATAACGGGCAGAATTTTGACGGGTAAGTGTGAAGGAATTCAAAAAAGAGCTTCTGGATTTCGGAAATGGAGTTTCTGCAGAATTTCTTCAGAAAAAATTTAACTAACTCAAGTAGTCTCAAGATTATTTTTCGGAATTTTTCACTCCGGTTTCTGAACTTTTTCAAATGAAAGCCTAAAAAATTTTCAGGAGTTTACACTGGACTAGCATGCGCATTTGCTCCATTATATCTCCAACAAATTATTCCAAAAAACATCAAAGGATCGATGAGTTGTTTTTTGCACATTGCCGTTTGTTTTGGCTCATCTCTCGGAGCAATATTTTCTCTTCCATTCATGTTTGGCTCAGATACCACGTGGCCAATTTTGGTGGTCTTACCTGCGGTTCTAGGTAAGACATTTGGACAAAAAGACACAGAACCGTTGTTTTAGGTCTTATCATGCTCTCCGCCTCGTACTTCATCCCAGACACACCCAATAATCTTCTCCAATTGGGACGATACACAGAAGCAATAGAAAGTATCAAGTAGGTTGTGTAGACATTTTGAATTTCCAGGAATTAAAGTGAACCCATTTAGATTCTATTACGATATAGAAGATAGTGACGAGGATGAGATTATCAAAGAGTACTGGGATATGGTACCAGAAATGCCAGAACAACTTTCCCTTTGCTCTGCCTTCATGAATTCTTCAATCCGACGAGGTATTCTCCTTGGAATGGTTGTTAGTGCTACTCAGATCTTCTCTGGAAGCATGGTGTCGATTTCCTACTCCACAGAGTAAGAAGAGCTTCCAGAATCTAGAATCTAGATCTTGAATATTGATAATTTCCAGAATGTTCTCCGCTGTTTCTTTTGTGGATATCCTAGTTCCATTCCTTCCGGCGCTCGGATCCATAATCTCTATTCTTCTAACTATCCCAGCTCTTCGCTGGGTGGAGACACGTGGTCGGCGACCGCTTCTTCTCAAAACCCTGATGTTTTGTATAGCTGCAAATGTATTTTTGTTGATGTTTACATTGTTATCCGGTGAAAAATCTGGATGGGCATCGTGGGGATTCGCCGCGGCATTTTTCATGTATGGAGTTGGCTATAATTTGGGAGTTGGACCAGTTGCATATTTTTTACCGGCAGAACTGGTACCTCCAGAAGCCGCCAGTGCTAGTTTAGGAGCCGCCGTAGCTGTCAACTGGATTTGTACTATTACAACTACCCTCTTCTACTATCCATTGAGTAAAACAATCGGAGGATGGAGTTATCTCATTTTCATTATCCCAACGTATGATTTTTTTAATAATTAAAATAACTCTAACTATTTGCAGATCTTTGTTTTCAATGATTTTATGGAGGTTACTACCGGAAACTAAGTTTCATTATAAGGTAAAAGAAAATTTGGTTTTTAATTTTTGTAAATTTTTGAAATACATTTTTCAGATTGATCCATTGGAAATTCGACTTCTCACCGATTTGGGACCATCCATAGCACCAAATTATGGAACTTTAGACTTAGATGAGCCAACGTTGTTTTAATATTTGCAGTTTATAGCCCTTGTTAACAATGAAATTGTTGCTTTTTTTCTAAGCTCTCGTTCAACCTACTAAATTTTGATTTCAAAGGGAAAACATGAAAAAGTTTATTCAATAAAATTTGATAAACGTTTTTTAAGGCAGTACGGAATTTGATCTTATAAATGTGTAACTTATTTCCAATTTTACACTTCCCAATTCAAACTGCCGCCAACAACGACACTCCGCTCATGCCGCAGCGCGCGTTGTTTAGCGAAGCTCTCTTTCAAAAAAAAACTGCGTTCCAATCAATTTAATCGACTAAACTGGTTTTTTGTTGGTTTTTCAGCTATTTTTGAGTTTTTATTGATTCGAGGCCTTTAGAGAGTTGAATACCCACATTTATCCAATAATTTTCATTGGTTTTTCTTCCTAAAATTTGTTCGAAAGATGTTATAGAGGCTAGACAAGCGAAACAGCATGACGGTCGTCTTTTATTGATTTTCTAGTTGTTTTTCTGCTTTGTTGATTGATTTCTCCCGTTCTTCATCTCTTTAACCTACATTTTCAGCCAAAACTCGTGTAATGTCTGACCACGAGGGAGCATCACCGGCGTCGTCAGCCCCATCGTCCCCATTGGTTCCAGTGTCTCCAAGATCCGATCACAACGCTCCAGAATCTCCGTCCGGAGACGTCGCCGATTTGTATAAAGATGACGTGAGTTGTAGAAGATTTTCAATATAAATTATATAATTATTTTTTTCAGGATTCTCCATTAGCCCCACGAAGCCCAGCTTCTCCAAGAAAATCGCCTGAAAACTCGCCTGTAGGAAGTCCAGTCAAAACTACAAAAGTAGTGATCTCCAGTGACGAAGATTCTGACGACGAGGGGCCATCGTCAAAAAAACAGCGTGCAGTTCTGTCGGACTCTGATGCTAGTGATACAGAAGCAACAACGAAGAAGTCGCGAATCACATTGGACTCGGACGATTCGGATCAAGAAGGTGATAAGCAACAGAAACGCAAGGACTTGTTCGGAGATGACAGTGACGATGACGATTTCGATCGTCCAAAGAAGCAAAATGACGATCTGGATGAGTTGGTGAAAGGGGACTTGGAAGAGGATCGAGGAGAGCAACAGCGTCCGATTTATGATAGTGATGATGACGATGGACCATCGGATAGACGTGGAGGGCGGAATTTTGAGTGGGATTTCGATAAGATGTTAGCAGAGAAGAAGGCAGAAAGGAAGAGAAAAACTCGTCGTGGAAAAGACGGAGGCATTGATATTATCAATGATGATGATGGAATGGTAGCGAAGTTGGTGGAGAAAATGAAGCATGCGGCGAAATCTGATCGAAATGCAAATGTGGAGCGGAAGCCGGCATTCCAAAAAATCAAAATGCTTCCAGAAGTGAAGGCGATCATGCTGAGAGCGGGAATTGTCGAAGTGCTCATTGAGAATGGGTTTATGAGTGCTCTCTCCGAATGGCTGGCTCCTCTCCCCGATAAATGTCTTCCAGCACTAGACATTCGTATTACTGTACTCAAGCTTCTTCACAATCCACGCTTCTGGAAGCTCGACAGAAGCACTCTGAAGCAGTCGGGACTCGGAAAAGCTGTCATGATGTTGTACAAGCATCCGAATGAGACCAAAGAGAACAAGGCGATCGCTAATAAGCTGATTGGAGAGTGGGCGAGACCGATTTATCATCTGGATACGGACTACAGTACAGTGTCAAGACAAGAGCGTGAGGAGCGGGACTATTCGAGAATGCCGGAGAAGAGAAAGAAGAAGTTGCAGTAAGAATATTCTAGGCACAAGCAATCCCTAAAAAATTATTTTTCAGTAGCCGCGAAGAGGAACCAGACGAGGACGAGGCGCCGAAACGGCCGCGAATCAGAGACGCCGAAGGGTTGGGGCCGACGAAGTCGTTGGATTTGAAGCCTGGAGACAAGGGATACATCAATCGAGCACGTGTCCCGAAGCCTTCTACCAAGGACTATGTCATTCGTCCAGAGTGGAGAGTGTCTGGAGAGTTCAAAGGGGTGAGTGAGCAGTTTATTGCGAAAATATGACTGAAAATTGAGAAAAATCTATTTTTGTCAAGAAAAATTGATCCGTTTATTCGAGAAACAACGAATTTCGCTGAAAAATTTGCTAAATATCGGAAAATTGCAGAAAAATGACTCAGAATTTTGAATTTTTAAGCTCCGTTTTGTAAAGAAAAGCATGTAGATTCACACAAAAGACAAGTTGTTTTAAAAATCCTAAAATAAGAAAAAATCATCGAAATTTTTTTTTCGAACACTGGCCTTTAGAGAGCCTCGAAATGTTTCAAAATTAACTGGAAATGGCCAAAAAATGACCAAAAATCGCTTTAATATAAAGTGAAATAGCATTTAAAAAATCTAAAAATGTTCCAAAATTAACTGAAAATGGAAAAGAATAACTTGATACTGATCTGAAATGACCAAAAAATGACTTTAAAATGCCTTCAAATGGTCGAAAAATAGCCTAAACATGTTTCAAAATTAACTAAAAATTACCAAAAATTGCTTCAAAATAATCTGAAGTGGCCTAAAGTAGCTTGAAAATGGTCTAAAGAAGCCTCAAAATGTTCCTTAAGATGAATAAAAATGTATTTTTTTTCAGGAGAAGAAGGCGTCCGGCTCAAAGCGTTATGACCAAACACTTCGTGATTTCCAAGAGAGAACCCGGAAATCCAAAGCCAATCGTCTCGTGAAAGTATCTCTCGAAGGTAGAAACATGGGAATTTAAATACTTTTTATAACACTCGATCCAATTTTAAAAAAAAATATTTCTCTCTTTTTTTCTTTTTCAAAATGATTCCATTTAATATTTGTGTCTCTTTCTCTCTCTCCCGAAATAAATTGTGTTCTCTTTCACTGTTCTTTCATCTTTATCCTTCCCTTTATATTTGTATTTAATTCTTTTTTATGGTTTTTCATTCTCACAGAATCTCTCTGAATCTCGGTCAAACTGGCCTCCTTTCCCCCTTTCGAACAAGTGTTTCATGACAAGTGCTCCCCGCTGTTGCCTCCAATCACTTATCAGGTATCTCTACCGTCTCTTCAGCCAATCAGTGCTCTCTCGTCTCGGAGAGAGCATCCTGAAGATTTGCTCACACACAAAGCCATCCCTCCGTTTTTCTCTCCGCCGGCCGTACCCGATTTTTCCGTTTTTCCGCCTATTGAATACCTTGTTGTTTAGGCCCCCCCAACAGTTTATTATTAATTCATAGACCCGGTGTTCGTTTTCCGGTCGAGCAGTGAAAACCATAATAGAGAAAAGTGGTTTTCTATTATTTGAAACCGAGGGAGTGTGTGATTCGAGGAGAGTGCAGAGAGAGAGAGGAGGTAAACAGAACAGAGACCGGTGGAAAATGGTGTTCATCCGAATTTGTCTCTCTTTTTCCGAATTTTTTTCGATTTTTTCATGTTCTTTTTACATTGATTTTTCAAATCGAAAAAATTCAAATATCCCGCAAGATCGCTGGAAATTTGCAGTCTCACTTTCTTGCCATTTCATTCTCCCTTCGTCTCGCATACGAAATTCGCCCATCTAGTTTTTTTTTCAATGGTTTTTCTTTTCCGCTGACTTTCCATTTTTCCCGAACAGATGGCTTCTCTAATCTGGCGTAAAACGGCGCCGTTTCTCGCATACCTAATGAATTGGGGGAGGATTTTCAATTCAGAATTAGGTCTAGATATTCTATGCGCCTTTAAAGCTTCTAGATTTTCGGAAATTTTTCGACAATTTTCGGTATCTTTTCCGATAAAAAAAACGAAAAAAAAACTAAAAACGATGAAATGGTAAACTGTCTAAATTCGAGAAATTTCGACTAAAAATCATTATTTTGAGAAATCTCAAAATTAATGGAATATTCCGATTTTGAAAAGTTAGGCATTTCGGATTTTGAAAATTGCAAAATTTTGGAAATATTCTGATTTTTTAAAATTTTAGAAAATTGCGATTTTGAAATTTTTAGAATTTCTGGGACTTTGGATTTTTTAAAGAATTTGTTAACATGCCCATTTACAAAATTTCCAAATTTCGGAATATTCCTATTTTCAAATTTCGAAGTTTTTGAATTTCAGAATATTCCAGTTTGGAAAGTTTCAGAATTCCAGAATTTCGGAATATTCTGATTTACAAACTTTCAGAATTTCGGAATATTTCAGTTTTGAAAATTTCAGTATATTCTGATTTTGAAAACTCCAGAATCTCGAAAATTTCGGATTTTCATTTTCCGAATGTCGCATTTTCAGAAATTTTCGATTTCGAATCCCTTTGAACATGCTGTTCAAACCAAGTTATACTGTAGTCCGCAAACACCGTCACGGAAAAAATCACATTTTCGTTTCAGTTTTTTAGTTTCGATTTTTCGTTTCCCAATGATAAGAAACACACAATTTTGTTGTGGTTTGCTGTGGCTCTTTATGCTTCGCCTTTTGTAGCTCACGATGTTTTTTTTCTGAACGTTTTGTATACGCGTCCTAATGCGAACAGCCGTGACTACAGTAAAATTAGCGTTGGTCTTGACGCGAAAGTTTCGAATTAAACTGCTGATTTGCTACTTAAGGCGCCTTTTTGCCGCCACTTGGCATATATATTCTTCTCCTCTCGAACCACACCCTTCGGGCCTTCACCAATGCCTTGGCGGTTGTTGCCTTCTCTCTCTCTCCGAAAATAAACGCCCTGTACGACACACACACACAGTGCCCTTCCTCTCCGCTTCCTCCAGGTAGTAAAAGTCTCTCCTCGATTCATGTACTCTCTCATCCCTCAATGCCTCCCGTGTCCGATGCCTTCCTTCTTCCCCATGACTACTGCTGTACAGGCCCGTGGTTGTGTGTGTTGTCACCTTCTTCTTCTACACTGTACTACGACGTTTCATTTTTCGCTATTTTTTTTCTGCGAGCTGCTTCTGAAGGCGTGGTTCCCCTTATGATAATGTGTTTTAAAAGGGGAAGAAGAAGACGTTGAGTGGTGTGTAAACCAGAACTATTTAATATTGCAGTACACACATACACACTTTCTCTCTAACTGTCTCAATAGAGATCGTTACGTTGATAAACGAGGCGTCTTTTCTGTCCCTCTTACTTGATTACTATAGAAGTCGTCGATCAGAATTCTAGAAATTTTTGAAAATTTTTGAAATTCAAATTGGCAGAATACCAGTTCTCTGCATACACTTTGCAGTGGAAGTTTCCACACACTGTTTGCCGTTTGTCTGATTTCTGATAATCCGTTTGACAATCAGAGGGAGCACCCGAAAGAATGCATATTTTCCGATGTTTTGTGTTCTGATTTGAACTTTTCGGGGTTATTTTGTGCGGAAATGTAGATTCACATGAAAATGAAGAAAAAATCCAAAAAAAATTTTATATCAGAAAAACGCATCGAAAAACGATTCGGGACGAGCTTGAGTTTTCTAGTCCCCCGGCTGCGAATTTGAATTCCTTCTCGATTTGTTCTCTCGAAAATCGCTAAAAATTTAAAAAAAAACCTCACAAAAAAACCCAAAAAACCTGAAAAACGCGAAAAATCCGGACTTTTTTCAGATTTTTCTCAATTTTTCTCTCAGAAAAACTTCAAAAAATCACGAAAAACCTGGAAAAAGCACTGTAAATCAAGAAAATATTTGAATTCGCGCGCTTCCTCTCCGCAGGGGGACTAGAAAACTCCGGCTCGTCCCTATAGCCGTTTATCTCAATTTAGGAATGTTTTTCTTTATTTTCATATGAATCTACATGATTTTCTGTACAAAACACATCAATTTAAGGTTCTCTTTTCTCCAAACTCAAACTATATGATGCGCCTTTAAAGTTCCAACTGTCAATCATCGAAAGTCGATATTTTATGACTTTTCCTAAGCGCTCGCTTTTTTCCATCGTTTTATGCATCAAAATGGCAACACCACCATCACACTCTTTTTTCGTCAATTTATCGCCTTTTTGTTTGCTCTCACGAGGTTTTTAGAGTGTGTTTCAGTTTCAGTTTTTCGTTCCCCAGTGATAAGAAACACATCATTTTGTTGTGGTTGGCTCTGTGGCTCTGTGGCTCCTTATGATTTGCCTTCTGAAGCTCACAGTTTTTTTCAACGTCTTGTAAACGCGCTCTAATCCGAATAACAGTAATACTCAGTAAAATTACCGTAGGTCTCGACGCGAAAGGAAACTTTCCTTCTCCAATCTTTGGTCAGTTTGGCTTTGCCAGATTGAAATAATGAGGAGAAGAAGAAAGAGAAAAACCCAATTGAAATTATCCAATTGGACCTCTTCCTCCTCTTCTTCTGTCTCATTTTGTCTATTTTCTGGCTACACAACCACACACATTTCAAATGTTTCCAAACAGAAAAGCACAAAGCATCATCATTGTTTCCTTTTCTCCCCATTTTGTCTGGACCCCCAACGAGAGAGAATGTTCCATGCGAGACGCAGACAACCTTTCTGCATATGTTATATCATCATCTTATGCTTCTGAAGAAGAACAGAAATGAGCTGGAGGTACTTGATAAATGTGGTGTAATTTCCATCCGTTTTCCCGCTTCTTCTTCCGAACGACTCTTTTCCTCTTGCAAGAGATATTGGCTCTTTTCTCGCGGGTCCATTCGTCGTTCCCACGTGATCGGAAAAAGTAATATGATGAGAGATATATGATGATGATGGCTAGTAGTTACGACACATATTTATCTATATTTTTCACCTTGGAAGAAAAGCTGGGAGATGTTTTCATCCTAATCATCAGGCTTTTTAAACAGTTTTTGCCAGTTATTTTTTGGAATCTTCAAAACTTTTGGACAGTTTTTTGTTCTCCGAAACGGTCCAAAAACCGTACAAAATTGAGCCTAAAATTGCCCAAAACTGACTAAAAATGAACCAAAGATGACCCGGAAACGAGCAGAAAATAAGCCAAAAACGGATCAAAAGCGGTCCAAAAAGGGGTATCTTTCAGAAACTTAGCTATCAGGAAATTTTCGAAAAGTTATGTGCATGCAAAGTTTTCAATCTAGGTCAGTTTTACACTCTCCGAAATTTTCAACGTGATCGGAAACTTGACAACCGAGTTCAGACTTCTGAAAATGGTCAAAATGGCCAAACAACAGCTAAAAATACGTTTTTGCGTATGTTATCTACTGTAGGTTCTGCGTCCAGCGAATTCAGTTTTTCGAAAATATATAAATTTGAAACATCTAAAAATTGAGGTCGAGTACTCTCTCACTTTCGAGTTTCAAGACAAAAAAAAGGCACATCTTATCGTGAATATTCGTGTCGGCGCCATCCTTTTTCCTCCTCCCAACAACACAATTAATAGTGACCCCATTAAAACCATGCCCCCAGGTGTTTTCCATGTCGCCGTCCCTCCCTCATTCGTTCGCTTTTTCTACCTCTTCGAAATACCGAAAAAGTGTACTTGGCCCTTGTCGCCTTCTTCTTCTTCTTCTTATTCCTCCCCATCTTCCTTTTCCCATATTCTTACGTCCTTTTCTTCTTCTTCTTCTTCTCTATTGCCACGTATCGAGTTTCAAGGTTTTCTTTCTTTTTTTCTCATTTTTTTATGTCAGTGCCGTCGTATTCAAGACTATTTAGCCGTCTTATGCAACCTTTTATACTTTGAATCCGCCTTGGATTTTTGGAATCTTTTCTAGAATTTGAAATACTGGGATTCAAATTCTCAGAATTTTCCGATTAAAAAATCCTATTTTGAAAATTTCAGAATATTCCAACTTTAAAAATTTTGGATTTTGAAAATTCTGAATTTCCAAATTCTTTAATTTTGGAGTATTCTGATTTTCAAAATTCCGGAATTTAGAAAATCTCCTATTTTAAAATTTTCATAAACTTTCGAAAATTCCGAAATTTTGAAATATTCCGATTTTGAAAATTTTGAAAATTTTGGATTATTCCGAATTCGAAAATTTGAAAAAAAAACAATTTCGAAAATTTCAGAATTTTCCGATTTTCAAAATTGCGGAATGCTTCCGTTTTGAGAATTTCGGATTTAAAAAATTTCAGAGATGTGGAATATTTCGGCTTTTAAAATTTCTATTCTCAAAGTTTGAAATTTTCAGATTTTGAAAAATTCAGAAATTCGGAAAATTCTGACTTTTTAAATTTTGTATTTTCAGAATATTCCGATATTCAAATTTTGACATACCGTTGTCCAAAAACCTCTAATTCCAAAAATGGAATTTTAGGAAATTCGGATTTTTTAGAATTTCCGTTCCGTTCTAATCCATGTAGATTAAAAAAATCCTTCTGAAAAAGTTCCGAGTTTCTAAATTTCTTTTATTCGGAATATTCCGATTTTTTAAAATTTGATATACCGTAGTCCAGACTGCTCTAATTCCCAGAACTTCTAAAACAGGATGAGAATTTGAAACCTTTGAAAATAACAAAATCCATAGCTTCCGGTCGTGAAACCACTTGTCAAAGCACTGGCTAGCACAAGCGAATCTTCTTCTTCAGCTGCAAAGAAAATCTTGTGGACACACAACAAATCCTCAAAAAGTTTCAAAGATGCGTCCTCTCTCACCTGTCCAACAGCAACTTTCTCGGGTTTTCCCAGTATTCCCTCATCCTCCTAAATAACAACAGCTGACCCTATCCCATCATCAACTGCCCCAACTGCCCCAAAGACTCGCCCTCTGGTTCCATTTCCCCCCATTTCTTCTATGTCTCTTCTTTCCCCTTCAGCTTCTTCTTCTTGTTCTTCCAATGGCTATCTGCTCTGTGTCCGATTCCAATGTCATTTTTCTTCTTTTTGTCTATGAGTTGCAGCAGTCATCCTGAAACACACACATACACAAAAACGTTTTTTTTGTGCTCCAACCCAAACATTTTTTTCGCCAAGTTCTTTTTTTTTCATTCTCCAAAGAAGTAGAAGAAGCCATTTCCTTCTTCTATTTTGCTCTGGAATGCGTTTCCGGTGAAGAAGGAGAAAAATGGGCGAAGAAGATGAACGCGAAATGGAAGGAAGTGTCTTTGGGGCAGCTGGTGGTTCCAGATTATTTTCTTTTTTTTTTTGGTTTCAAAAAGCCTAAAAATTGGTGTTTTTGTTTTATTTTTTGCAGAAAATTATGTAGATTAACATAAAAACATAGTTGCAAGCGGGCACATGACGTGCCGGCTGATAACTTGTCCCTAGAACGAGATATTCAGACGGTTTTGGTACTAAATGATAGATCTCGACAGGGCCCATCGCGCACATATTGTTTGAGCCGGATTCCGGTCCG